ACGAAAGACTATTTAATGGAAATATAAAACTGTTTAAAGAATTGTATATTTTTGGACAGATTTGTCACAAAAGTTATTGAATGACAGAACAAATAAATTATTGATTTTCATTCACTTTATGTGTATTAATGAAAAGCTAGAGATCGGTGCCGACGATCAGTACATCTCATACCTGTTTGATTGGCTGAGAATCCACTGAATCGGTAGAAGAGGTCGTACGACATGACACATGAAGTCAGAGACGATGAATGCCAACCAAAAATTGATTCATTTAAATCATTGTTAACAGAAATACAACATTACTGTATATTTGCATTTAACAAATCAACACTTCTAATGAATGCATAAACTGGTGGCCAAAACCTACCTGTGCTTCACTCACTTCTAAACGAAAAATACTTGTGAAGTCAGATTAAGATTGCTTTTCATATTCAAAACTCGTTACAAGTTAAAGTTGATTGTATTTGTGACTTTGTAAGTTAAAATTGACGTCAATGTATAAAAATCAAACTTAAATCTAAATTTTAATAATGAAGGTTAGATTGATATAAAATATAGTCCATTTCACATTATAATAATTAATATGCTGCGTTCAATATTTTGCAATGCAAACTTATGTAATGTTTAAACTAACCACAGTTTCATTCATTACAATTTGTCACTTTGAAGACAAACTTTCAATAATAAGTCTTAAATCAATATAGATTTTTATTTGTCATTAAAATATAATTGATTGATATAATTGATATTCTTTGAGCACATTCTTCACATTTAAATCGTTTGTATTTAAAAACCTAATCATTTAAACATTAAAACTAAAACAAATTGATTATATTTATTAATTAAAACCTAAAAACATGAATTGATTTGAAGAGAGAGTTAATAGTAAAAGGATTTTCAATACACGACTCGCATCTCATTATACAATAGAGAAGCAAACCTTTGGGTCAGAGAATCCAATTTCGTTGACTTAGAGATCACTCTTCTGTTTAATACTAATTATTAATTTTTATTAAATTTTATTTTATAATTAATTTAATTAAAATGTTAAAAATTCGACAATAATTTCGTTTGAATTGAAAATCACTCCCAAAACAGAATTTTTAAATCAATTTAAATAATAATTAAATTTATAGTAATAATTATATATATAGTAACTCCAAGACATGTGTCTCGTCTAATAGCAAACCAATTGTGAAATGTTGACTATTGCGGTGCCCGACCTGTCTGTACTGACTGACATTGTATCACAAATTGAGGTTAAAATCTAAAATACAAATCTGATTGAGTGGTGGTGTGGGCCGTAACGGTCAACAAATCAAACGGATTCCCAATAAGTAATAGTGTAAAGAGATGTTTGGATTCGTGTTTAGAATTTAAAAACAAAACGTCTATAAAGTTATGCATTCAATGAAAGATAACAAATGGTCTGTAAAGGTATGAATCGTGTGATTACAACATATGCCATGAGACTGAAGAGGAAGATGTCTTTAAAGCACTCAAACCTTTGTCTTTGCTATACAACTAAAATCCAAATAAATCTCTCACTAATTGATGATAAAAATTCTTTATATTAATTATAATAAGTATTTATATCTATTTATATATAATTTAATTCTAATTACATGATAATTGCACTTCAAAAACAAGTGTTCAATTAGTTTATGCAAACTTTCATATATTAAACTTTATGTTTGAGTCGATTATTGCTGTATTACTTTGACTATTGATGTGGATTTCGGATTTCATTTATAATTAAAATTACCTATTCTTTAAACATTTGTGATATAATTGGGGTAAAACTGATTGAATGGTTGATTGAGAGCGAGAGTTAGCCCTTAAATGTGTGAATAATTTACTTGAATGTCGTGGTCGGCGCAACTGTAGAGGGACGGGGAGAGAAACAGATTGAAAAAAGCTGTTATTATCATTATTACAACATTTATATCGTAATAATACTGTATATACTGTACTGTACTTTTAAAAGAGTGCACATTTTAAGAAACATAATAATAATAATAATAATAATAATAATAATAATAATTATAAAATTTCTTAAATAACAATAATTTAGTGAATCATTCGAGTCATACAAGTCATGATGGCTTACATGCAATGCAAATGAAGTCTTCGATATATATTTACAAGTCATGCAATTAATTAAAGTTTTCATTTAAGTGTTAGTTTTTTTACTGTAACCGGTCCTAAAANATATAATTATTACTATAAATTTAATTATTATTTAAATTGATTTAAAAATTCTGTTTTGGGAGTGATTTTCAATTCAAACGAAATTATTGTCGAATTTTTAACATTTTAATTAAATTAATTATAAAATAAAATTTAATAAAAATTAATAATTAGTATTAAACAGAAGAGTGATCTCTAAGTCAACGAAATTGGATTCTCTGACCCAAAGGTTTGCTTCTCTATTGTATAATGAGATGCGAGTCGTGTATTGAAAATCCTTTTACTATTAACTCTCTCTTCAAATCAATTCATGTTTTTAGGTTTTAATTAATAAATATAATCAATTTGTTTTAGTTTTAATGTTTAAATGATTAGGTTTTTAAATACAAACGATTTAAATGTGAAGAATGTGCTCAAAGAATATCAATTATATCAATCAATTATATTTTAATGACAAATAAAAATCTATATTGATTTAAGACTTATTATTGAAAGTTTGTCTTCAAAGTGACAAATTGTAATGAATGAAACTGTGGTTAGTTTAAACATTACATAAGTTTGCATTGCAAAATATTGAACATATTAATTATTATAATGTTAAATGGACTATATTTTATATCAATCTAACCTTCATTATTAAAATTTAGATTTAAGTTTGACTTTTATAAATTGACGTCAATTTTAACTTACAAAGTCACAAATACAATCAACTTTAACTTGTAACGAGTTTTGAATATGAAAAAGCTATCTTAATCTGACTTCACAAGTATTTTGCGTTTAGAGGTGAGTGAAGCACAGGTAGGTTTTGGCAACAAGTTTATGCATTCATTAGAAGTGTTGATTTGTTAAATGCAAATACAGTAGAATATACAGTAATGTTGTATTTCTGTTAACAATGATTTAAATCAATCAATATTTGGTTGGCATTCATCGTCTCTGACTTCATGTGTCATGTCGTACGACCTCTTCTACCGATTCAGTGGATTCTCAGCCAATCAAACAGGTATGAGATGTACTGATCGCCGGCACCGATGTCCAGCTTTTCATGAATACACATAAAGTGAATGAAAATCAATAATTTATTTGTTCTGTCATTCAATAACTTTTGTGACAAATCTGTCCAAAAATATACAATTCTTTAAACAGTTTTATATTTCCATTAAATAGTCTTTCGTTCAAAATATATAAACAATTAATACATTATTTTCTTTCTTTATATGAATTTAATACAAATCTTTCAAAAATTTAAAACATCTTTCGTGTGTGTCTTAAGAGTTGATAATTTAAAAGCATTTAATAATAACTTATATTTATATTTAACAAGACTTTTAAACATAATTAAATCGATGTATAAGTGATTTAATGGTAAATAACAGGTCTCTCATCGTTAGCTCTTGAGATCAATAGAACAGTCAATAGATTAACGAACAGTAAAACAGTTTTCATAATAATTATAATTATAATTAAGAGAATAAATATTTACAATAATTATAACAATTTGTATTCAATCGATGGCATCATTTGCTACCGTTTTTGGGTGCCTTACACTTGAAACTCCTTTGTTTGATGAACGGGTGTTGATTGGAAGCACCGTTACGTTTGGTCTCGCAGTTGGCGGCACCGCTCGACACAGAATTAGTTGAATGATATTCCGTGGCATTCATGGCATTCATGGCATTCATCTCCTTATCGGTGGGCGAACCCAACGTCAGCGATGACATCGACGACGAGAGATTCATTGTGGACGACACCGACAGAGTCGACGGGTACTCCAGTTCACGCACCTCCCCGTCGTCCACAGGCAGACACGTCTCGACCATCGCTTCCAAGCAGTTGACGAACAGTTCGGCGTTATCCAGGTTTGACTGATAGGACTTCGAGAAGGGACCCGCGAATCGCCACAAACCCCCGAAACCAAAGGCTATTGCGGTTCACAAACATGTTATTAGCATTCAATTAGTGTCAAAACAGTGTGGACTCACTTTGGAGGTAATGGGGCTGTTGTTGGGCGTCTTCGCACGCAATCATATTCTGTATAATACTCTGAACTGCGCTAAGGATCACCTGATCGTGACATAAGGACAGCACACTTGTGATCTTTGCGTCCAGTAATGAATGGCTAAAAATAATTTGTAAATATTAGAGAATGCAGGCAATGATGAGGGCAGAGCTAATGGAAACACTAC